CCAGTTTTTGGCTGCTGTGAATAAAGCTGCTATGACTGTACACTGATTTTTGTAAACATCTGTTTTCTTTTCCCTTGGGTAAATACCTAGGAGTGGGGCAGCTGGATCCTACATAGGTTTATTTTTACTTTTATTTTAAATTACAAAATCAATATAAAAATTTAAAAGAATCTTCCAGACACTGGTGTTATTTTTACTTCTCATTCTCCAGGGAGACAGATTTGTAACAACGTTCTATGGGAATTCCTTCTCTCACTGCAACTTCTCTCTCTCCCGCCTTTTCCTCACTCACACAGGGAGACAATCACAGACAGAACTTTGGAAACATACTTTACACGCCCCTCTCTGCTCACTGGCTGCTTCTCTCTCCTTCCTAGCTCAAACTGCCCAGAGGCAGAATCTGATCAGAGGCGCTGCTCGCCATCATCCCATGCTTTCCCAGCGCTTCACATGGGCACACACCAGCGTTGGCTGGCGTCCGACGGATCGGCGCATACCTCACCCAGCCATCTGTGGCCTGGCAACAGGCTTTGCGTGGTAGCGACGGGGCTTCTGCAAATGAGATGGCTCAGCGCTGCCATTCTGAGCAGAGACTGCGAGCTGAGCGGTTCCCCATGCAAGGGACAGTAGACGTGGCTGGCATCCTGGCATGTAACTACACCATGATTCACTTAGTAATTCCCTCATTGTTGGATACTTAGGTTGTATTCAATTTTTCATCTCACATCTTAGGTTGCAAAAGATACTTCGGAACACAAATATTTGTATGAAATTGATAACGTTCCCTTAGACCCCCTAGGAGCATCCTACTGGTTATGAATATGTGACGTACATGGTTTTCAAACTTTAGCATGCATCAGCATTGCTTGTGGGCCTTGCTGAAATGCAGGGCTGCGGCCCATCCCTAGGGTGTCTGATTCAGTAGGTCTAGCAGGGGGCCTGAGTATTTGCATTCCTAACAATTTTCTAGGTGAGGCTGACATTGGAAGAGGGCTCTCTCTCTCTTTCCAATGCTTCCATAGAAATTTGTGCTTCTTTAGAACGATGAACACATCTGCCTTGTGTTAGAATTAAGATGGCATGTATTCATTTCCTCCCCTAGAACAGGAACTCTGTGAAGTGGGTTCTGTTTTATTTTTACTAAAGTGATAAGGAGGGAAAGTGTATTTCAAAAGAAATTGTTGTGAAATCTGTCACCTAATTTCCTTGTTAGCCTCTCCTTTATTGTATCGATGCTGCCCCAGGTTCCCTCATCTTTATTATTTGCACACACTGAAAAGTTGTTGCCACTCAACTTTTGCTTCATTGTTTAAGGAATAGCTGCAGCTTTTCCATGTCTGGATTTTATACTTTGTCTTGTCATCAGCTACCCTCGATCCACATTATCCTCGGGTTGGATGAAGTTGGAGGGAACTGTTGGGGAACATAGGATGGGCTGGCTTAATTTAAACAGTGCTAAAAAGGCTTAAGCCTAGATCTTAAAATTAAATTTTACCATTAGCAAGCTTGACATCAAAATCAGAATGAGATGTTTGTGAAAGGACTTTGAAAGTAATAAAACCTTCTATAACTTATGGAATTATTAATATAAAAACCTAGGAAAGGAAATAATTTAGAAACTAACTTTTCCAACTTTATTCCCGACATACTCCAAAGACAAAAATTAGACATTCAGACAAAAATGAAGAGACTAAAAATGGATAAACTTAGAATATTTACGCTGAAGTTACAAGAGCCCCCCATGAGTCTATCACAAAAGCCAGAAAGGCCTTTTTGAGTCAGATTTGAGGTATTTCCACACCCAACAGTAATAGAGTAAGTGATTATGAGTGAACTGGCCCTCATGGTCTCTGAACATCTTTCGGTGAGATTCTTTCACTCTGGTTTATTCCACCTGAATTGACAACCTCCTTCTTCAACCAAGGTGTCTTATCTAAAACGGAATCCACAACCCACTTTGAAGACATTTGTTTGGCATAAGATCAATGTCCCAAGTAAAGTGCTTGTTTGCAATTACATATACAAAATGCTTACCATTGGTCCTGTTGACAGTTTTCCCAACCATCTCCTGGTAGGACGAAGCTTGCCCTCTAGCAGTTCCTCAAGAAAAGGTTTGTGAGTGTAGTATTCCCTGAGTTCTGGCATGTTTAAAACTGGTTTGCTATAGACCTGCTACTTGCAGGACAGCTTGGATGGATATAAAATTGACTCATATTTTCTCTCCTTCAGTTTTTAAAAAATACTGCTGCACGGTAGCCTTTTTCTATGTTGATATTGAAAAGTCTGATATTGACCTGATTTTTGCCATTCATGCATGCATGCCTCCATTCATATTCTATTATTTTACCTAAGGATTTTTTCTTTGATAAAAGTCTAATAATGGTGCTAGAATATGTCTTGTAGTTGACCATTGTAGGTCAATTTTCCCAGATACTTGATGAGCCTCATTAATGTATATATATTCAGATCTTCTGTTATGTCTGGAAAGTTTTCTTGGATTATAGTTTTAAATGTTGGTTTTGTATCATTGTTTTGTTTTTCTTCTTCAGGGACTATATATATATATATATATATATATATATGCATACACACACACACACACATTTTATCAAACTGGTGTCTTTTAGGAATGAACTAAGTTTAACTGGTAAGATTCAGCTCTATTTCATAGATAAAATTTTAGTGATATCTGAAATATAATATTAAAATGTAATGTGAGAATTCCTTTTTATGATTGCACATAATGTATAACTAGCTTTTATAGTTATATATGCATGTAGAGAGATAGAGATAGATTGAGATGCACCAGAGATATAGAAGAGAAGTAGCAATTATCCATCCCTAATCTTTATTTTCCTGAAGGCAGGGGACTAGCTCGGATGACTTATTCAAGTACTTTCTAGGTTCAGTTCTTTGAAGTGTTTTGAAAGCATTTGTCACTGTCACCAAAATGTGTTCTTCATGAAGCATTTTCTTGAACAGGAAAAAAAGAGTATATTTTAACCCTGAGTTAATGCATACTTTGATTGTTTACCTGCTACATAAAGTTAGGTCTGTGGATCGTGAGTGCCCACATCCTTGAAATTTTGTTAGAAATGCAGAATCTCTGGCCTCGCTACAGATCCACGGAATAGAAACTGCATTTTACAATATCCCCAGGTGACTGGCGCATGCATTAAAGGTTGAGAAGCCCTGGTCTGAGAGGGTCTGCCCACAGGCTGAAGAGTAAAACTGAATGTCTTGTATTAAATCACCTTCTTTTTAAAAGTACAATATCAGCTCCCCAATGATAATTTTAAAATATAAAATATAGATTCTGTAATTTTTTTAAATCCCAAACTTAACCGTAGCATTTTTTTTTTTTCAGTAGATGATTCTCATAGATGTTTCACAGACACAAGGGATGCTGGAGTAAGAATAAACCTTGGAAATTATTAGTCTAAACTGCATTCACCCAAACGCAGAATCACTTCTTCTAACCTACAACTTTCCTTTGTGGCCTCTGACTGAATATTTCCAAGAAAGAGAGCTCACCGAATCACAGGACACTAGCATTCTTTTCCGTTCACTGTCACACTCAAAGTCTTAGTTTAGTTCTGATGATCTATCACTTGGGCAATAGCAACAGTGTTGTAAACTTCTGCCTCAATCTTTCTGATCTTTCTAGAGACAAAATTGTCTTCCTGAAATCATATACCAACAGATGTGGTATCTGAAAAAAAAACAGGCTGACTTCCTGATCAGTTCACAACTGTCCACTCTATATAACTACCTTTCACTTTCTCTGGTCTAATCAAACAGATCAGCTAATTATCCCAAGAGTAAGGTGATCCTAGTTTTGTGCAAGTCCAACTCCCTACTTTATCCTCCAACTCTCTACTTTAATCCTGTTCCCTCTGTCGCAACTTACCTGCTCCCTACTTTGGCTGTGAAAGTTCCATTCATTTTTGCTTCTTCTCATCCCCCTCAGCTCCTGGGTATTCACTGATAGCAGCAACTATTCTTTTGTGTTTCTTTTCTCTGATTTTTATGAAACCAGAGTTTACCTTGTTTGTCTACACTCCTAGTTAAAGGGCGAATTCATCTAGAACAGGAATCTAGTCCTTTACAAAGATTCTTTTGGCACCTAGCTGCTCTCTTTATGTTCTTCTTATGAGGGGCATGCTTTGTCTGTACCATCACCCAAAGTTCACTGGAGAATCACCTGTACAAAATCATGTCCTTACTGTCTGGGATTCTCATTGGCAGAATCTCATTAGAACACCTCTGGAGACACAGACACTTTAGTTAAAATCTGTAGAACATCTGTAGAGATCTTACCGTACTCAAATAATTTTGCTAGGTACTGGTACAGATACAGAGAGGAATAAGATAAAAGTAAAGTTTCGAGTGCAAGTTGTAATGGATAAAAATAAAAACAGTTTTGTCTTGTTGAAGCCATCATGTTAGTTAAAGAGACAGCATTTTTCCCAAATTTAGTTATCTGCTTAATTTGGAATTTCTTCCCTCCTCCTCACCCCCACCCTCGACCCCGCCCTCAGCAAGCGGAGGTAGGACATTAAGATCTGGGGCACCACAGTGCAGTGCAGTCTTCTCCAGACGAGTGTTTCAAACTCCATGTCCACGCCATTTTCAATAATACGGAGGGTCCTAAGGACTGTTGTTTACATATTTCTTTCCCGCATTAGACTGTGAGCTACTTGAGAGCAGCGTTCATTTCTTCTTTCCAGAAAGCCCCCTGCTTGACGTTTAGTAATTAATGAGAGAGCTTGCTCTACGGCAAACTCTTATAAAGGCTTTACGTATACCAAATCATTTAGTACAGGAACTTGTTCGAGCGAAGAATCGATAGCCCTTTCCACCTCCATTAGATCCGGAGACCCCTGACCCTTGCCCATGTGGAGTGGGCACTCTCCCATCTACCAGATGTTGCCCCGCCCCGCCCCTTCGCCGCCGCACTGTCAAGTAGCCGGTCGCACCTCATGACGTCACTGGAGCGCGCCCTCGCCCTGGCATTTCCCCGGGCTTGCGAGTCAGGTGGTCCCAACTTCGCCGCTAGCTGTCAGTCCCGTCGTTCCAGTAGCTCAGGTCCGGAGGCCGACGGCGTCACAGGCTCTGCGACATGTCGATGCTGGCTGAGCGTGAGTGTTGAACGCGGAGGCCCAACCAGTGCGCGATGGTGAAGGTTTTGCGTGACGCCCCCACCTGGACCCAGTAGCAAGGGGTGCGGGTCGCTGGTGTTCAGTGTGTTGGAGGATGCATTGGGAAGCTGGGAAGCTGGGTTCGGTTCGCCCTGCCTGCCGCGGAGCTGAGCTTTCCCAGTCTAGCCTTCCTCAAACGTTAGCTACCGGTTTGCTAGTGAAAGAGACTGCGAGTTCAGAATTGAGCACGTGCGCGATGGGTTTGAATGAGAATCAGGACACCGATCGTGGGAATCCAAACTGGTTCTTTTCGCTTCCCTGGGCCCCTCGACTACCACAGGTTAGAAAGAGGAAGTTAGGCCTGGAGAATCTCTTTAGGCATTGGAATCTCATTCTCGAAGATGCACTGAACCTAGAAATAGAAATGTAAAGGGAGTAGAAGCATCAAAGACTGGCAGTAGCCTGTTTTAGGAGGTGCAGGGCTAAGTAAGACTGTGGCGGTTTTGACTTTGTTGGAATTAGCACTCTCCCGTGACAGGAGCGTTAGCCGAGAGGCCTCATCCTACTTCAGTTTGCCATTGACATTTACCGTCACTTTGTGAAGTTCATTAACTCCCTTTCTGGAGCGGCTGTGTAACTTCTGAAAGATCCTTGTAGCTAAGGCTGTTGCCTGCCACCAGAGGGCAGTCGTGCTTTGGTCATAATTTTGAAAGTGTGTAGTGAGCAATGAAAACAGTTTACTTAATAGACCAACAGCAGCTACACCGGGATTTTGTGAAATAAATGCTGTTAACGTCCTCTTATCTAAGGGATGGAGGAATGTGAGCACAGAACCAAATGGGTTAGGCTCCATTCCAGATTGTAGGAGCAGAAAATAACACTCAGAGGAAAAAAAATTCACCCCCAGTCATAAAGCTAGAAATTGACAACATCAATCTTGTTATCTCTATATCTTGACATTATTGCTACTAGTACCAGCAGTTTTCTACTGTCTTTAAATAGGGACTCATAGAAGGGAATATGTTTTAGTCAGATGGTGACCTTAGAACCTAGATCTCCCTGTTCTCCGGTTTTAGTATTCTTTGGTATGTGCTTAATTCGGTGGGCACTGGGGAACATTGTCCTGGCTCTGCTATTCACTTATATCTCTTTCCGTGATTAGTTTTCTGTGGGGCTTTAAAAGAAAACTTTGTTATCTTCATCACTAGGATGGTTTAAAAAGTCAATGAAATGTGAATGTGAAAATAGTTCAAAGTATGAAGTGGTATACAGGTGTAAAGTCTGTTTGTCTATATCAGTAATTCAAATTGCATGATTTTAAAGGAATATTTTCAGTTCTCTCTGCACTGTGACTCCAAATTTTCAAATCTTTACCATGATAATATATAATATTTTATGTTGTCTTTTAAACATTTTTGCTAAGTTAATGTCTGACATTCCTTGTGATTAGATATTTTGGACTAGCATTCTTATATTAGATATGAGAATATGAAAACATAGCAGAGTTCTCTTTTTATTTTATTTTAAAATTTTACTGAACTTATTGGGGTGACTTTGGTTAATAAAATTACACAGGTTTCAGGCATACAGTTCTACAATACATCATCTATATACCACCCAAAGTCAATCTCCTTTGGTCAGATTTATCCCTCCTTTACTCTTTTTCCCTACCTCCCCTGACCCCCCATTTCCTATGGTAATTATCATACTGTTGTCTGGGTCTATGAGGTTTTATTTTTTTTGCTTAATTCGTTCACCTTTACACCCAGCCCTCTACTGCCCCTCCCCTCTGACGGCTGTCAGTCTGTCCTCTGTATCTATGAGTCTGTTTCTATTTTGTTTGTTAGTCTCTTTTGTTCATTAGATTCCAAATATAAGTATAATCATATGGTATTTGTTTTTTCTGACTGGGTTATTTCACTTAGCATAATAGTCCCCAGGACCATCATGTTATCACAAGAGGTAAGGTTTTCTTTTTATATGGCTGAATAAGTATTCCATTGTGTAAATGTACCACAGCCTTTTTATCCACTCATCTACCGATGGGCACTTGGGCTGCTTCCAAATCTTGGCAATTGTAAATAACATTGCAATAAACATAGGGGTGCATGTGTTTTTTCAAATCAGTGTTTCGAGTTTCTTCGGATATATTCCAGAAATGGAATTGCTGGGTCATAAGGCAGTTGGTGAATATGTTCTCCCATTCCTTGGGTTGTCATTTTCATTTTGTTGATTGTTTCCTTGGCTGCTCAAAAATTTTTTAGTTTGATATAGTCCCATTTGTTTGTATTTCTTTTGTTTTCCTTGCCTGAGGAGATATATCAGAAAAAAAATATTGCTACAAGAAATGTCTCAGTTTTTACTGCCTGTTTTCATCTAGGATTTTTATGATTTTGAGTTTTACATTTAAAACTTTAATCCATTTTGAGTTTATTCTTGTGTACGGTGTAAGAAGGTGGTCAGGTTTCATTTTTTTTCATATACCTGTCCAATTTTTAACACCATTAATTTAATAGACTGTATTTACCCAATGATATATTCTTTGTCAAATATTAATTGACCGTAAAGCTGTGGGTTTATTTCAAGGCTCTCTATTCTGCTCCATTGACCTATATGTCTGTTTTTATGCCAGTGCAATGCTTTTTTAATTACTCTGGCCTTGTATAGTGTGATATCAGATAGTGTGATTCCTCCAAGTTTGTTCCTCTTTCTCAAGATTGCTGAGGTTATTTGTGGTCTTTTGTGGTTCCATATAAATTTTTGGAATATTTGCTCTCGTTTTGTGAAATATGCCATTGGTGTATCTTAATGAGAATTGCATTGAATCTATAGGTTGCTTTGGGAAGTATGAACTTTTTAATGGTGTTAATTTTGCCTGTCCATGAACACAATATATGCTTCCACTTACTTGTATCTCCTCAATTTTTTTCTTCATTGTCTTATAATTTTCTGAGTACAGGTCTTTTACAATTTTGCTTAAATTTATTCCTAAGGTTTTTTTTTGATGCAATTGTATATTCATTCACATATTTATTGAGTGCCTGTTATGAGCAGTGTTTTTACTTCTTACAGTGAATCATAAGAAAGAATAAGATACAAATAAGACCATAGGAGATTATGGTCTAATAGGAGACATAAAAGATGGATACAAATAACCATAATCTAGAAATATGTTAATTGAATGCCAAAAAAGAAGCAGATAATTTATTCTGGAAATTTATAGAAGGAGTCATTTCAGTGAGAAAGGAAGGTATCATTAGTATCATTAGTAGAAAGGAAGGTATGATTAGTAGATCATGTGTGGAGGGCATAGTTGACTTTCTTCCCAGGATCATGAGAATATAAGCTCTGATGTCAGTAGGACCTTTATTTGTATAAAGGCTCTGTATTTTGCTTGGGGAAATTAGGCACATTCCTGTCTCTAAGCCTCAGATTTTTCTCATCTGAAAAGTGGAGGTAAGAATGTCTACCTTCATTGGTTACGTGAAAATTGAATCCAAAAATGTGCAGGTAGCATTTGGCACATAATGTTTGGCAACAAAAGCTATGCCAGCTGTTGCTGCCGATGCGACCCATGTGATGATGCTGCTGGAGTCAACAGGCACTTTAATAAGTTGCTGCCTTTAGTGGACTGTGGAAAGCCCAACTGATGGTGTATCTAGGTATTTCAATTTTTCACCTTCGGACAGAATATCTCTATTTCTGTCCTATAAAGTCAAAGACAGTGTGTATGTTGTGAATATATAGTAATTGGGGAAACCAGGGTAAATGATCCAATCTGATGCTGAATCTGATACCTGTATCTAATAAAAAAATATGTCATATTTTATTTAAGTACATGTGGAAGTATTAGTTATATATGTATTTGTGTGGTATTTTCCGGGTTTGAAAGATAAGTTGCTAAGGAGAGACTTTGTCATTTGCAGGTCGACGGAAGCAGAAGTGGGCTGTGGACCCAAGAAACACCGCGTGGAGTAACGATGATTCCAAGTTCGGCCAGAGGATGCTGGAGAAGATGGGGTGGTCTAAAGGAAAGGTATTTTGGAGAAGAGCAAAAGAAATTGGAGCCATGCAAAGAGATTAAAAGTCAGGAGGGCGCATCTTTCTTAGGAGACTGGGAAGTGTGTATAATTTGGATCGATAAGTGATTTTGGAGAAATAACTAATCTGTAGTGACCTTGTGATGATAAAGTTAGAATTGAACATACATGTCAGCTCTCTTTATCATTCCAACTGCATGACTAGCATCTTTCATAGACAGTGCCTTTTAATTAGTTGCACCTAACCATCAGGGTTTTATGTTGCTGAGAGTAATATTTTAATTCCTTTTATTGCTAGACCACACATTTTCTACTTTTCCTCACATTCCAGTTGCTCCTGACTCAAATAGGACTTGTACTGATATCTCTACCCTTGAATGGTTCTTGTCAAGGTCTTTAATTAATAATCTTGTTGCCAAATCCAGTGGACCCTTTTTTGTCTCAGGGTACTTAATCCCTTAGCAACATTGGACTTAACTGCCTACTCCCTTCTTGAAATGCCCTGTCTTGACTTCCACAGTGTGGCTTTCTCTCATTTCTTTCCTCCTACCTTACCAGCCACTCCTACTTTTGCTGCTGGCTCCTTCGTCCGCCAGACTGTCGGGCTTTGAAGCCCCAGGCCCTTTTCTGTGCTCTGCTCAGCTGAACTCATTTATATTATCCCATGCTTTAAATAATATAATCTGAGATTTTCTAATTCTGTTACTTTTATGTATCTAGTCCAAATCTGTCCTTTGAGCTCCAGATATATAAATTAGTCAAATTTATCTTGATCCCCCCGGTTCTTTTTCTTCTCAAGTTTCCCCATTTTGGCAAATGAAACCTTGTCTACCGCTTACTCAGAACCGAAACCCGGGAGTCGTGCTTGGTGCCCCCCGCCCCGCCCCCCACCCCTACACACACGCACACACTTTTCCAGCCCGAGTATCGCCCGGCGCAGCCGCCACCGTCGCTCGCTCTCATTACCTCAACAGCCTCCCTTCTGCTTCCCTCCTTTTCCTCCTCCGGGCCATTTGCCATACAACAGCCAGAATGGGCTTTTAAAATACAGAAGTTAGATCATGTCATGTCATTCCTTTCCTTAACAATTCAGTGGTTTCCATTGTTTTAAAAAATAAGATCCAACTGACTACCATGATTTCCAAGGTCCTGTGAGGCCTGGCCCCTCCATGCCATCTGATTTCCTCTCCATTCGCTCTGCCAAAGCCACCCTGGCAGGCGCCTTTCAAGGTCTGCGGTACACCAAGCTCTCTGGGACACCTTACAAATGAGCGTTAATTCATACTTAGGCCTTGGAGTCCCCTTCTCCCCCTTTCTCAGTGTTGTTTTGTAAAATTATTTAATGGGCAGAGCCATTGAGTTGTAAGGCCTCAATGGGCTTCTAATAGTTTTGTGGTGGAACTCCAATTCGGGGAATTAGTAAAAGGCATGTTCTCCATAGTTTTTACATGGAGGTCTTAAGTGGAAGAATCAGTATGCATTATTGTAAGTGCATTTTTTGTGTTACACACATGTCCTACAAGAATCCGTTAGACTGTATTCTCTTTGAGGGCCCACATAGCACCTTACTCCTAGATGTTTAGTAATTAATTGAATAGTTGATGAAGTAGATATAATCGCTCTGTATATCTGATACAAAAGCTAACTCTCTTTGTGTTTAACCTCTACAGGGTTTAGGGGCCCAAGAGCAAGGAGCCACAGATCATATTAAAGTTCAAGTTAAAAATAACCACTTGGGACTTGGAGCCACAATCAATAATGAAGTGAGCAACAGTTTGCCTGCAGGGTGGGGGGAGGGTTTCCTTGAATAATTGCCTTTTGTAATATGTAAGTTTTAAGTCAGTCAAACTGATCAGTTTTGCCAATTGAAGTGTGTATCCTCCGTGTGTGTGTTAAGTGAGGGGCCCACAGGTCAGCTGGCCCCCCATCGTGTGCCGTGGCCTCGCCTTTCCTTATCCTCTTCAGGAGGTTCTTGCTTACGTGTAAGAGATGCAAGCTGGTTTCATCGCTAAACTTTGCAAAAAGTATTCTTTTTATAGAAGTACTTATTTCAGGACAGACAGGAATTTTTATCTTTACCTGTGTTCTAATATTAGCTTATATTATTAAAAGTGGCTGACATTTAGTTTCAGAAAAAAAATGAAAAGATTCTTTTGCAAGAAAGTGGTGTTCTTTTCCTATACCATTGTCTGTTTCTGACTGTTGGTGTATAGCAGTTAAATTTATTCATACTTCCTATTAAACACTGACGCTTTGAAACTATAACACTGTAACTGAAAATGAATGGCCTGCCCTGTCATGCTTTTCATTTGCAGTATTACTGTTTGCTTTAGAAAGCATCTAAGCTGAAAGGTCTGTTCTTAGACTTTTATGATCAACAGAACCTGGTAGAAAACCCGGAGAATTACTCTAGGTAAACTGAATTACTTTGATTAGCTCAGCAGCACTGAGTAGTAGACAACGTCAGCTAACATTTTCTGGACTAACAGCTAGAATTTTAAATAACTGAAGAAGGAGGTTCTATAAGGTTGATTTTGAAGGTAGTAGTTGAGAGATAGATAATACAGAGGTACATAATTTTTTAGGAGAAGAATTGCCCAGTAAACCTATTTAATAAGACTTAACTTTAAGCAGTCTTAAAATAGTGTGTGTAAGGCAAATTCCTACACTGACACCTTGCTTCCCATTGGTTTAGATTGTTTTGGAGATATTCACTCATAAAGCCTGATTCTCTTTGTTACAAGGAACTTATTAGCTTATCGCCTTAGCAATGGGTGCTGATTGATTCAGGGAACTTGAGTCCTTCTTCCTCTCTTCCCCAGTGTTATTTTGTAAAATTGGGTTCCACGCCAGCAAATAGAATTGGGCAAAATATTTGAAGCTCAAATGAGCAAAGAAGAGAGTCCCAAGTCCATCACAGCTTTTTTCCTTTGACTTGCCCTTAATTTTCCCTTAGAAAAAAATTTCATTCTGCTTTACTTTAATATTTAGCACCAGGTTGCCTGTTGATTATTTAATTGTAAATTGACTGTTGATAAGTTGTCCACATTTGAAGTCAGGACTGACACTTTCAAGAATTTTTAGTATTAAAATAATTGTATTTCCAATTTATATCATTCAAACTCACAAAATAATATTTTGATGAAACATTTAAAATTTCACATTAACCACCAGATTTCCTTGATTCCAAATTACATCTTTTCTCAGCCAACCAGTGTAGGTAAATTACAGACTTGCCACTAATTGATTTTTTTTTTTTTTTTTTTTTTTTTTTTGGTATTTTCAGGACAACTGGATTGCTCATCAGGATGATTTTAACCAGCTTCTGGCTGAACTGAACACTTGCCATGGACCAGAAACAGCAAGTAGGGGAAACTTTTGCTATGTTATCCATTTGATTTATAGAAGACATAATCTCTCGGTTTAAAATATTTTTACCAGCTTATTGTAAGCATCATATATCTGAAAGTTAATTTATTGAAACTATTAGAAATAGTCTTTTCTGTTTATATTTTGCTGGTGCTTTTATTGCATGAACCTTTTTCATTGCATGAAGGAAGCAAACACTTTTTTCTAAGTTACGGGAATGGCAAGGTAAATCCATTCAGTTTATAACCTTAAAAAGTAAAGTGATCTTTCTAGGGGTCCTTGAGTACGTCTAAAAACATCTTTAAAATACAAAGCAATAGATATCAATTGGGACCATAAATTAGCAGCCAGCGAAGGCTTAATAGAAAAGCCTTTTTTCTTTGTGTTGATTGTAATTAATGAAATTGTTTTATCTTTTCATATGTGTAAGAGATGCAGATTTCTGGGGTACAGTAAAATTTGTTGCAAGAGCTCGGTATTAGAAATTGTGTTCTTAAGCTGTAGGAACTAGAAATGAAGCAGTTGCACACTGGGCTTTCCCTGTTAAATTAAGAGAAGGGTCCTGCTGTTGGGAGGAAGGACATGGATGGGCCAAGCATGTGGGCCTTTGGTATGATTTTAGGAGTTTAAGGGAAGTTTTTTATCACATGGCTATTTGGAAGGTAAGGATGTAACTTCAGTTAATTCTTCTGGACCTTACTGAAGAAATCTAGACTATTCTTTTGCAAACATTTTTTTAAATTGTGGTAAAATACACATAACAAAATTTACCATCTTAATCATTTTTAAGTGTGCAGTTCAGTGACATTAAGTATGTTCACATTGTTGTGCATCTGTTACCATCCATCTACAGAGCTCACCAGCTTGTGAAACTGAGACTCTGTCCCCACTAACTCCCCATTCCTCCCCCCCGCCCCACTCTTGGCAGCTACCACATTCTACTCTCCGTCTCTATGAATTTGACTGCTCTGAGCACCTTATACAAGTGGAATCATAGTATTTGTCCTTTTGTGTCTGGATTTTTTCACTTAACATAATATTGTCAAGGTTCCTCTATGTTGTAGTATCCAGTGTTGTACCATTTTCTTCCTTTTAAGGCTGAATAATGTTCCATTTTATGTATATACCCCATTCTGTTTACATATTTATCCATTGATAGACACTTGAGTTCACCTTTTCTCACCTCTTGGCTCTTGTAAATAATGCTATGAACATGGATGTATAAATGTCTCTTCAAGTCCCTGTTTTTGGTTCTTTGGGGTATATGCCTAGAAGTGGAATTGCTGGATCATACAGTAGTTCTATTTTTTGAGTTTTTGAGGAACTGCCATGTTTTCCGTGGTGGCTGTGTGATTTTACATTCCCACCAACAGTGCACAAGAGTTCCAGTTTCTCCACATCCTTACCAACACTTGTTATTTTCTGTTTCTTTTGTAGTAGCCAAACTACTGGGTATGAGGTGATACGTCATTGTACTTTTGATATGCATTTCCCTAGCGCTTAGTCAGCATGCGCACTTTTCATGTACTGTTGGCCATTTGTATGTCTTTGGAGAAATGTCTTTTCGAGTCTTTTGCCCATTTTTTTTAATGAGTTTTATTCATTTGTTATTGTGTTGTATTTTACCAACATTTTTCTAAGGAATTTCTTTTTATTCCCTGTGCACAATGTTTGGCATGTAGTGAACGGTCAAAACATGTTTGTTAAGTTGAAAGAGAAAGAACTTTGTGGAATAAAATTAAAAATTTAAACCTGAGTTCAGCAAACATTTATTGAGCTGTGCGCTGAGTATGAAGTTACACTTGAGGATATGCAGGTGTATGAGACATAGTCCCTGCTAGGGAAGTAGCAAGCAGGATATGCTAGCAGTTGGTAAAATTACAGCATGAATCTAACTGAGGGAAGACTTATTGCTGTGCTTTGTATGGGAGTGAGCCCAAAAGCATCAAAGCAAAGGTACTCCGTATTGTTGCTAATCAGATTGGACTTCTTGTTGAAATCTGTAACTTGTGCAGTTTTTATTATCCACAAGATAACTATTAGAACTGTCCTATGTGTGGTCCTAACATAAAAAACAGCAATTTGTTGGGGAAAAAAAAAATAAGGAAAGTGCTGACTGAACTGGCATTGGGAAATGCAGGATCTATGCAGGAGGAAAATTCAAGGACATTAGCCCTTACTAAATATAAACAGAAACATATTTATATTCAAAATCACTGTTGAAATCAGTAGAAATATAGGTTCGTATTTTCTCTCCTACCTGGCTTCTTTTTCTCAGCATGCTTCTGAGATGTATTACTGAAGCTCAGTCAGTGAAATGTTTCAAGTGCTGCAGGGACTTGGTTATTTGTCAGGAGGGTGGTAGGTGCATGGCAGATCCCAAGCAGTGGTGCCTGGTCCTTGGGCAGCCCCATCCACTGGTTCATCTGTGCAGGCTGATTTTTTCCTGCATTAAGACTGAGGGGCGTCTTACATCTTTGGCAGCGGGAGAGTTACCAGTCTGTAGGTTAAGTTCCATCTCGAGACCACTAGAGGGTGCTGGTAGCCCTGTGATAGGGACTGGGCAGTTGGTGGCCTGCTTCCTGTCTAGCTCAGTACAGTCTGAACCAGGCCTTGCTAACTGCCAGTCCCAGTATTGAAAAACCTTTAGAATATTCCTTTAAGAGAAAACCTGTCCAAGGAGTGGACCGGGAGAGCAAATAGATTATTTTTTCTGCCATATCATCTTTATCCAAGTGAATTTTTGGTCATAGTAAAGCTGAAATTACTATATTAAAGCTGAAAAGCAGATGACACATTATAACCCAATAACATTTTTTTCTATCATAATATTTTTACTTCCTTAAGATTGCATACCAAATTCATACAATTTGCCTTTTAATTAAACAGAGATTCCGTAGTGTCCTCTTCATAGACTCTTGCAAAGATTCTAGAAATAACCCTTATCTCCGTGTGGGAAGGAAACATCAGTATATTCTTTAAAATTTCACTTAAAAAATTATTTTATCTCAGTTATTCTCTACCAGACTCAACTTAATCTCATTGTTTTAGAAAATATTTGTTCCTCCTGTCAGATATTTCGCTCCTTATGATTTTAAGTACCTTTGGAAGGAAACTGGGGCGCCGAACCCTGCCATCCACAAAGGCGCGGTTTAGGAAAGGGCTGCTCGGACCTTTTGCTCACACATCTTCTATGGCGGGGATCCTCTGTGGGGGTCTACCTCACGCTTTTGTATCAACAGCAGTAACGTTTCTCATCGTAGCTTTAAATAGTTGCAAAGTACTATAATTTCTGGCCTATTGGGAAATATTGGCATTTGGAAATAACACCATTACATTAGTCCAGAATATAGCCAGTAGATAAATACCAGAGCAATTTGATACCCACTGTCATCTATTTAGAAATACACCAACAAGCTCTTTAATAGTCAGAAATATTATATTCCATAGTTCCTTTTCCTCTGATATATTTTGATTTGGTATACCCCGTAATATTTTATGTTAGTATGTTTTTTGCTTCAACTTTCAAAAATTCATCACCTTATCGTATTTCCCTGCCACAAAGCAAATACATAGAAATTTTTGGTTTATTTCTAGTAACCTCAAGTCTTTAAGTATAAATATTTTTCCTTTGGATTAAGTTATTTTAATTAGTAGGTTACAGTTACTGAAACCAGGAAATACATTATAAATTCTGGTAAGCAGCTATTAGGACAGTAAAATCGTTTTTGGAAGTGTGTCTCAGGAGCAAGATTGGTGTGGGGTGGGGCCTGCTTTGCTGCTCTGATTAAAGGCAGCTTCCCTGACCCCAGTACTTTGGCTTATTCCTGTTTCTCTCTGGGAAGAGGAGCGTCAGTGCCTTTCTTTTGTAAAGTGGGCAGAGGGGAAGTGGGAGAAGTGGGGAGGGAGAACCAGACTGATGCAGCTCCCCCAAAACAGAGCAGTTGCAGGAAAGCGTGCACGTGAACAAGCAGATAGAAATCCCTGTAAGGTCTGTCCTTGCTCACATATGCTCTGGGAAGTCTGTGTACTGGGAAGATGGAGAAGATAGATCACCAGGTGGTTCCTACGTGGGAGCTCTGTTAGGGAGAGTGTAGGGATTAAAATGTACACTCTCACTCACATCTGCCTGGGTTTGAATCCCATCATAGCCGCCTCTTAGATGTGCCTTATTTAACCCATCTGTGCTTCAGTGTCTTTCTGTGAATAATCATAGCAGCTTCCTAGTAGGGTGGTTGTAAAATGAAATGCAAAAATGCATAGAGAGCTCTTAGTCTAGTGCCTAATACTTCATAAGCCTTCAATTGATGATAGCTACTTTAAGCTGAGAACTTGCTAGGTGATTTACGTCTAGAACATCAAAATTGAGAATGTTATATGCCATATGAAGTGTTTGACCATAGAAAGAGGAGAAAAATTTACTTGTGGGAAGTCTTTTTAAAAAATCAGAAGCTAGCTGGGGCTGGTGTGGCTCAGCTGGCTCTCCCTCTCTCTCTAAAATCAGTAAACATGTTCTCAGGTGAAGATTAAAAAAAAAAAATTCACAAGCTGTTCTTGGGAAATGACTGCAGAAGAGAGTGTTTTAGGTTGTTGATATATTGGGTTGGCCAAAAAGGCTGCATGGTTTTTTCCATAAAATAAAAAACATTTTCATTTTCAGCAATAACTTTAGTGACTTGGGTACTTTGAGTATGTTGTCTCTCTCTTGCTATTGGCTTCTAGTGGGTAGAAGCCAAGGGTGCTGCTAAACATCTTCCAATGCATAAGGCAGCCCCACAGAAAAGGATTATCTGGCCAAAATGTCAGTAGAACTAAGAAACTTTGCAAACCACTTTCGACATTTCGATCAGTCACACCACCTCTCCATGCATTGCACAAACCTTTTTTGCATTTCAGTTGCATTTTTACCTTTCTTGAAATAATAAAGTATAATACCTCAAAAATGTTGCATGTTTTCTTCCATCCTCAATATTAAAATGGCTGTACAAAAATTCACCAATTTTGATAAGTTTTTATCTAAATGCACATTGATATGACAGCTGCCACAATACAGTCTAACAAAATTGTTTCGAATGAAGTTAAAGACAACTAAGCACTACTAGAGCCATCCTATGGAAAAAACTAAACACACTTTTTCGCCAACCCAATAATTAACCCATGTGAGGTATTGTCTGAAAGCTTGACACATCTATCTTTACGTTGTTAGGGCCTTTTCTCTGTAATATATACTTTGCTTTCAAAATTATCAATCCTGGAAGGGATTATAGTTACTAACATGTTCAATGGACATGAGCTCGTTTTGCTCCAGTATTAAGGCAAATAATTTTTTCTTTCCTCATGTCTAATTTTATAATTTTATTTCCTGTTGATGTACCTATAGGAAAGTTCAGTCTCTTTTCTACCTATGATGTTCTCTTTCTGTTACTGTGCTGCCTGAATTTGATAAATAGGTAAAACTGAGGGAATATATACAGGCAGCTTGTTACTATCCTATAATTGACTCTCACCCCGGATCTACTTGCTCTTGATATTTCAACCAAGGGACTACTTTATGGCTCACCTTTTCCTGTGTTGTCAGAGAGATAATCTCGTGACTTTGTTCCTCAATGATTTCTTTTTGTTGTTGCTTTTGCCCTTAAAGATGAGCCACCAGTGAAACCCAGTGCTGGAGGCGGTAACTCAGTGCTGGCTCTGCTCCTTCACGCTCTGCCTGGTTATCACCTCTGATCTGTTTTTTGATTATCATTAACCTGTCTTATCTTTATTTACATTTTAAAATAACTTTTTATTTGGAAATACTTATAGATACTACAGGAAGTTGCAAATGGAACTCAGAGTTCTGTAAAGAGCTCTGGGTCCCATTGTCTGGTTTCCCCCAACAGGGACATCTAACAGGGCTGCAGTGCGATATCAAAACCAGGAAACTGACACTGCTGTTGGCTGGTAACTAGACCAATAGATCTTACTCAGTTTTTACCATATTTTTAAGCCTCATCGGTGTGTGCGCGCGTCTCTATGCAGTTTTATCGCATGTGCACATTCGCATAAGCATGGCCACAGTCGGGATGCAGGGTTGTTTCATCACCGCAGAAGAGCTGCGTCATTCATGGGCCGCTTTGTAGTCACGCCACCTTCCACCCCACCCCTCTAACCTTCTACTCCCGACTTTGATCTTTGTCCCCCAGAAACCATCCTGTCGTTCCCCCTCTCTATAGTTTTGTCATTTCAAGAATGTTATATGGATTAAATCATAGAATATGCAGATGGAGCTTTTTCACTAAGCATAATGCCCCAGAGGTCCCTCCAGGATGTTGCGTGTATCTGTAGCTTATTGCTCTTTCTTGTGGAGTAGGGTTTCAAAATACGGATGTACCAGAATTTGCTTAGCCGTTCAGCCATTGAAGGGATTTTTGGATTATTTCCAGTACTATTATGAATAAGGCTATTATGTACATGGGTATATAGGTTTTTGTGTGAACACAAGTTTTCATTTCTCTTCCTCGAAGATTGTATAAATTTTAAATTTCTGGAAAATAGCCTTGCCTGATTTGTAGTACACAGTTTAAGAAGAATATTTCTAATCATTTGGTTAGAGTTCAATAATAATTGATAGGGTTCCCAAAGATTTTAATTAAATAAGATCATGTCACTGTAAGAGAATGGATTACAGAGAGTTTAATGTAATGCTTTCTTTTTTTTTAAGACTCCTCCTCAAACGACAAGGAAAAGAAATCTTTCAGCCTTGAAGAGAAGTCCAAAACCTCCAGAAACCGCGTTCATTATAAGAAATTCACAAAAGGTAGAATTAAGCATTGTTTTAAATGTATTTTTGATACTTCTGTTTTCACACTGGGTTTCTTAAAACATTTTTAGCTCTTTACCAGCATTACTTGTTTTACATTGAAAATGGGGAATTATGGATGGCCCAACTGGATAAGTCTGAAGTGGCGCGAAAGTTTCAATATTTATTGTTAATCTACCGGGGATCTTCTTGAAGTGCAGATTCAGATTCATTAGCTCTGATATGGGGCAAAGCTGAGCGTAGAAGTCAGGTTGTTATTTGGAGGAGAAAAGGGATTTTAAATGGCTAGGTCAAGAAATAATTCTAATTGATCACTCAGCATTTTTAGTTACATTTTCTTGTTTTTCAAAGCTTAATGTTGGTGTTGAATAGCTCTTAAAATTTTTCAATTTAGAGAATTATGCTCTGTATTGAGATCTCTAATATGAGAATTCTCACTCCCCAGTTGATTCTTGTATTATTGCACACCATTTCTTCATTTCATGATTCCATGGTCTCTGCGAAGATTGTGTTAGAAAACGTTTGAGGGCCCGGCGGTAAATCCTGTCTTCCTCTCACCGCCTCGCCACTGCCTTCCTAGCACTTGTAATCAATTGTGGGTGCAGTTGTCCTCTGTAACCAGTAGGTGGCGGTCTTGTATTGGTAAGAAACAATTTAACTTGAACTCTCCAACTCCCCAAATGTTTTCCCATAGAACAGTATTATACATTAAGTGGACTTTCCAGGCACAGAAGCCTATTTATTACATAATATACTTATAGTATAAATATGATAATAATTTATGTTGTGATACATAGTCACCATTTGATGGTTCTTCTATGGGAGATTGGATATACATGCCCATCTCTTTGCTTTAGTCTTGTTGGCATGATTGGGAATTCCCTAACTTCTAGAACACACCTGAATAGCAGTGGGAGCTGAAATTCCCACTACTTTAAACTATTAATGGTGGTTCTCACTGAAGCACAGGGCCCCAAAAGGCAGGAGTGAGTTTGGTTTACATGAGAGCCTGACCCAGCAGGCGTGGTTATATGGCTCTTCGTGCTCTCCTCATTTCTCAGGCTAGAGCCTTCTTTGTCTTTTTCTGTATAACTTCCGATTAGGGTTTCTGTCCACCCCCGACCTGCCGCAGAACAGAAGACAGTCCTTGTTGGCCCTTCAGTCCTTTCTAGGAGAGGCGCCATGGTCACGTCATACCCAAGCCCTTAAATGTCCCTTCTTTTCTCATTTAGACCCTCTAGAAAAAAAGAGAGAGAGCAGAAGGGTATTGAGCAAATTAATGACATTAAAATAGGCCTATAACTTTTGGGTGTTCTGGCATCCTTTTAGGCTTTCCCTTTTGCAATTAAAATATTCTAATTTTCTTTAGTACCCGGCTACATGCATGAGTTCATCTGAAGCATTTGGTGAAGCCAGGATAAACCTCTTTAATCTGGGAGTTGCTGGAAGAATCTGCTCTCTATTTCTAGTTAAGCCACTCCCTTGCCAGGTGACCCTGTCAACTTGCTTTGTGTGTTGTGCCTTCATTTTTTCTCTTTTAAAATGAGGTGTGCTCATTAGCCTTGCTTGGGGAGGCAGGGGGCATTGGTACGCAGGGCACGGAGTTCCACACGCAGGGCGAGAGAGGCAGCCGAGCAGACCGAGTGGGAAAGCAGGCGATGCAGACTGGGGCAAGCAGGAAGGGTCGGGGAAGGAGGCAGAAATCCAGGTAGTGACGAAAAAATTATTTATCATCCATCTTAACAATCCACAGGGAGGGATTATTCTAAAGTTCTTTAACTAAGGAAAAGAAATTTTTCTCCTGTGGAGCCACTGCGGTCACTGTACACGAATGGCAAGCTCTGTCCCCTCTAAGGCAGACTGAGTTAGGTCGCAGGAAGCCTGGGCGCTGAGACTCGCTCAGACAGATCGCTTAACCACTTCCCTCCTTTCAGACTCAGTTTCCTCTTTTGTAAAGTGAGGAAAGATGTTTTAAGACATTATTGAGTCCTAAAATAGATTCTGTTTTATGACATCAGGAATGACCCCATTATATGGAACTTTTGATTGTTCAGCATAATGGATAAGGCTTTTAGCCTGTGGGTTTGCTCATAATGAAAGTAACGAATTCACTTATTAGATGAGGATGAGTCATATTGTAACTTCATCTGTGGTCCACAAGATTAAAACATGGGAAGATGGCATTTTATATAACTTAGTGTGAAGAGTGAAGATAAAAATTTTATTTTAGTGAGAGAGCATTGTAAAATTTCTGCTGCCTAAATATTGGCTGTCATTTTAGTTCTGAAACATAATTATTCCTTTCTCTAGTCTGAAGTTTATAATTTTAATTTGAAATAATTTATTAGATAATTTTAAAAGTTAATTCCATCCACATTTGTTGAAAAGCCTGACTTCAATGTGGTTTTTTAATTCAAAAATTATTTAGCAATGCCATATCTGCAGAGAGGAAACAATAGAGAAAATATAAATTTCTACAAAATTATTTTCTATGTAATCTTCTCCCTAGAAGTTGTTGAGAGCATTGCCTTCCCCCCGGTCCGCCCCCAGTTGTCCAATGCGGGATAAAATTTGTGTTTTAAAACTATAGTTGTGCAACGTCATCGTGGTAATTTACTCACACTTCCCATCCCTGTGACAATTTGCAGCATTTTGCTTCTTAAACAAGGAAGCCGCATGCGTGGCACGTGTCCTGGGAGTTGGCTTGCCAGTCCGGACACCCAGACTGTGCTCCCAGACTGGACACCCAACTGCTCCTCCCCGCAGTTGGCCTCTGCTAGTGACGGGCACAAGCTTTCCTCCTCTGATTCTACTGATATTTAAATACAAGGTAGCACCACTGCAGGCTTTTTAAAAATTCTGACTGTCTTATTATTATTTCACCTCCTGCCCTGATCCTTCCCCATTTCCCAGCGTTCTGACATTTCCCTTGCAGTGAAGTTGCCGTAATCTTCTGTCGTAGATTGGTCAGCCCCATGTGTTCTCTCTCTCTTTTTTTTAAATCAAAGTATAATTCTTTTTTATCCTTCCTGATTTGGGAATACAAATGAATTTTCTAAGCAAGTGAAGCTACCTACATAAGCTTTAACTTTTTATTACAATAAACATATTTCTCAACCCTGCATTCCTCGCCCTCGTCCCTTGCCCTCTGAGTGGAAAACGCAGTATTTTTGAGCCTCCGTTATAATACAGTGCTCCACTACAGTTTTCCCGTTAGAATTGTTGGGTTCTATGTGACTTTTGCCCTTAAACTTAAAGGCTCCACATCTCTGTGATTCTTAAATTCTTTGTGGAGCTTCTTTGGTTTCCTTTGCTTCCCATGTGGACTTCTTGGCATTGCCCACGTGTCTGCCTGAAGCAGTAATGTTCCTCCCTTCCAGTTTTCTGCTCTGATAGCCTGGAAGGCCTGATGCACATGATTGTTAGAAAAGCAGCTAAAATGATAGTGAAGAGCTTTTTTATCTGCTCATCCTGGTTCTTGAAATGTTATGGCCAACATTTGAAGATTAATAGATACATGAACCAAATCCAGACGGATAACATGTTTCTTACTCTGTCCAATTTTTTGGGTTGCCATTTTCTCTAAGATCTAAGTTTATCAGCAGTATTTGCTGTGATGTGACTATCATTTGGAACTGAGACCGATAAGCTTTTAAACTCTTTTTTAATATGTAGATTTTATTTAAAAGTGGCCATACATAATTTTATAACATTTATATACTGTTCAACCAGGGCCATTAACTAATAACCATTTCAGTTTTGCTTCCATCTCCCATTTTTATCTACCTCAAAATTCCATTCCATTGGTCTCTGACTCTTAATTCTTCTCTGTGTTTTGTTTTCCAGATCAAATCCAGAGCAAGGCCTGTAACAATCCTGATTTCTACATTTACTTAAGTGAACTTTGCTAAAGGATAAAAATTTCTGATACAAGAACCCATCACCAAAACTTAGAAACACTTGCACCCTCCCTGGTATAGCTTACTCTCTCTACGACCCTGGCAGTTTTCCCTTTGATTTTTAGGTTTGCTTTTCATCTCTGTGTGGTCATATTTTGACATCCTGCTTTAAAATTACAATCTTGCATGCATCCTCTTTTTCTTAATCCCTCCTGCATTCCTTTCCGTTGAACTGCTCTAAAAGGGATCTTTCTTTGCTTTCCTTTTAGCCTATCCGTTCCATTTCAGAAGACAGTTTAGGATAGGTGACCAATACGTGTTTTGAACTAAGGACAACTCCTTTTTCCAAAATAGAAACTGCCACCCTGAGTGTGCTCCGCGGCGCACAATGGGCTGTGCTGATGATGAGGATAAAAATAGATCTCTAGATCTCCTGAGGGATTGTCTCCTCCTCCCCACCACGACCGATTTTACTCCCCACATTTCTGGCTCATTTTCTGAGCTCCTGTCTGGGATGTGCTTCATTTTGTTCTCAGTAGGCTTCCTTTGGAGTGGCCTGTCTGGGTTCTACTGAGTCATCAGTCAGCACCTGGAGGCCTTCGTTTCTAGCTCAGGGAGGAAAAAGAGGGCAACGCAGAGCCACAGGAGAGCATGTCCTTCCCGATGGGAACAGGCTGTACTGACGGGACTGGTGAAACTGCTGCCCATGAAGCTCATTTTGGCACCTGGCTTTGCATTAAATCGGAGGGTGTTTTGTTTTTTAATTTCATGGAGTCACTGAGCAATATCATATTTGAATGCCCCAGTGATAATCAGTGAACTAGAACCTTCTGGGTCATGACATTACTTTGCCTAGTCAGTTTTGCTACAGGAAGCCGAGGAGTGAGTCTGTGACAGTGAACTCAGGCTTTCAGCTCAAAGCAAAGATTCCGGTGTCTAACCCAGAGCCTCGCTCCCCCCAAGCCTCAAGACCTGACGTGTCGTAGTTACATTTTAAAAGGAATTTACCATGAAGTTGACAAATGGGAGTAGATTCGGTCGATTGCTCACAGAATATTTTTTATAGAAGTGGAAATTCCAAAGAAGTGAATATTAAATCACTTGGTTTGTGGGTTTGAAATTAAGTTAAAGAGTTTAGTGTTTTTAATAAGAAGCATGGGTCTTTTGGCCACTGCTTTTGTGAGAAGCCGTTTAATTTCCTGCTCTTATCATGTACCCTATTATTTAAAGCTGACAAAGCAAACTCTTTCACCCCGATCCAGTACTTTTTATTTGCTTTTATTCTTTTGAAATTTCATTTATTCAATTAATTATTGTGCTCCTGTGTGACAAATGCAGTGTGTTCTCATTTACGTGCATATGTGGGGTTTTGAAGATACATATCTAGCAGCATTTTCTATTCTGCATTTCATAATCCTAAGTAGCTCATGTCTCCTTGAAGTAAATAAGATCTGTTTTATAAGTGGGGAAGCCAGAGACACAGAAATTATACCTTGAAGGCACACCAGTAGTAGAGTAGCTTTAGAATTGTTTTCCTCTCAGTCTATATATTCTTGGTTGTTTCTACCATCAAGAGACTGTCAGTAGTAATGGATCTCATATACTTATTTAAGTTTTAAGTGATTTTAAAATTTAATTCTATTAGTTAATTGAAGGATTTTCATCTGTGCAGTGGAGACAGAAAGTCGGTAGTTTATAAAATTGTTTCTTTTTCAAAACTCATTTTGCTTTCAGGAGTTTCATAGCTTATATTTGGGCTCTGTATTTTAGAAAGATTGGTGTTTCTAAAACATATCATATTGTTTTTCTAGGCAAGGACCTATCATCTCGGAGCAAAACAGATCTTGACTGCATTTTTGGGAAAAGACAGAGTAAGAAGACTCCTGAGGTATTAAGCCACATACAGCTGATATGTTCTGTTTCCACAGTTTGATTTTCAGCTATATATAGAACTGTTTATTATGAATAGTAGTTTTGAGACAAAGTACCAAAAGCCTTTTAGAGGCTTCTTACAAGGGCTAAATGTGGTCCTCTTAATTGTTGGGAGATAATATGTTTTATAAGAAATCTTTAAAAAGGGTATGTGCCACCTGGGCTTTGTTGTTGAGTGAGGACTAGACTAACCTCGGGGATGAATCCTGCGGCTGATGTGTTCAAGGGGTGCGTAACCTTTCCATCTCCAGGACAGGGAGGTTGCATGCAGCGATTTTATTTGCTCTGCTCAGACTGCATCACCCTGTTTGGAAGATGGTTTGGGGAAGATGAATGTCATGTATGTCTCCAGTGCTGGTCTGTTTTATTTTAAAAAACATTTTGAAACAGTTGGGATCAGCATTGAGAGTCAGGAAGGGATTTAGATGTGCTGTACTTCCTCCACTGCGTAGTACTGCTTCAGAACCAGAAGATGGGATAGGGAGTCTAAACTATGCGCTAAATGAGATGAGTCCATAATTCATAATCCTAACTATAAAGCTGGGCTGTGCAATGTAGCACAACTTCTTGTGTGTGTGTGCCAGTTCCAGCTGTAAAAGACAGTCTTGGATAAAGTTTGATGCCAATACTAGATTTTTTAAAATATAGATTTTTAGAGATAATGGGCTCAAAATATTTAAAATTGGTGTTGTCTACAGAGGTCTGGATTATATGGTTGCTGTGGCCATTGCTCAGCTAACCTGGTACGTCATACTTGTGTTGCTGGGTTGGTTCCTAGCCAAGCCCCTTGGAGACTACAGAACAAAAAAGACTTGCTTCATTTATTTCTTATATTTCTCCCAACTGACAAACTTCGTAGATGATAGCTATTTGTTACTTGATCATTATTTTCAAAGACTCTGGGGTGACCAGTTACTAGAAATTTTGTTTGGCAGTTGCCTTTGTAGGTTGGGACTAAATTTTTGATCTTTTAGCACTTTTGTGACTCTGTCCCTTTAGCAACGGGGACAGGAGAAGCAGACCCAGAGAGGAAACCTAGGCCCCCTGGCTTGCCGAGGGCGGCGCCCGTGGGCCTGCTGAGCCATGTCAAAGGCAGGCGGTCATTAGGGAGGAGGCCCTCTGCTCTCGGGTCATGCTGAATGCTTCCTTCTCGAGGCTGGGGAGAGCCAAGGCCGTCAGACAGCCCTGCTCCTGGTCACACCTCTACTCGTTGCTGGTTAGTGCCTGACCCGGATTAGGCCCCTGCTCACTAAGGACTTTGTATCTGCCTTCTCTCGGCCTTCCCCTCGAACCCCTCCTTTGACCACGGTCAGGAATTTCAGGGTCCCCAGGGAAACTCTGTCACCTCTGATCTGCCCCAACAGCCCCCTCCCATGGCCACGCCCTGCACCTTTGCATTAGCCCCACGTCCCTCCCTGGGGCCCTGATGCTGACCTCCTGTCCCCACGCCCTCAGACCAGCATTCTGGCAGCACTGGCTTTTCCAAATCCTTGCATTCTCGGATGCCTTGGTCCTCCCTTTTCTCCCTGCTGCCAACACCTACTACCCCCAGCCCTCCTCTCCTCCAGCTCTCTCTTTGAAATTTTACAGTCGAACAGGTCAGGGAAGGAGATATTATTGATGGGCTTCTGGTAGAACTTTAAAAGAATTTATGTGGTAAGCACAGGAAGCGTTTCGTTACAGATTAGAGGGTTCTAATCCTCGGCACCCGTCTCCTGGAGGGCTTACCGGTGTTTGGTGCCATGAGGTTCTCTACACTTTTTGGTTTTATTTGGCTTTTTGCTGGTGTAGTCATCCGTGATCATCTTAAAGCGAGCCTGTGTTTGAGGAGCTTCAGAGACCGTTGTGCCCGGCCAGCCCAGGGGAAATCTACTCTGGTGCAGTTGGTGTAGAGAACACCTGTCTTGACATGATAATGCTGTGTTTTGTGCAGGATTTACATCCAGGTACATCTCAGTCTCATTCTAACTTAACGTTTTCTTCTGATGAGGCATTTAAAATCCGAATTGTCTGGTGGGGTGGATTTATGTCCCAGCGCAGCTCTTGACCTGTAGAGGTCGCTCTCAACAGCCCTTGCACTCAAATTGCCTGAGGAGCTTCTAAAAAAATGCCGGTGCCAGGGTTCCCCCCAGGCCAAGCAGATCCAGATCTTGGGTTAGGGCCATGCCTACGTATTTTAAAAAAGAAGAAGAAAAATTTAATTTAAAATAAAACAATGCCTATTCAGATGATTGAGGTAACTATTCTAATGTGTAATAAGGAGTAAGGATTGAGAACCACCAGTAGAAGCCCTGATATGTAACTATACAGGGTGGGGCAAAAGTAGTTCTACAGTTATTTGTATGGAAAATAATACAATAATTAATAAACAATAACACAAGAACAAACTCAGTGTTTCGCAAACTCACAACTGTAAACCTACTTTTGCCCCACCCAGCATTTGTAGAGTGTCCAGCTTTAGGGTCACAAGTATTGCCTAGAACAGGGCTTCTCCAATCTTAGTATGTACATACATCATCTGGGGATTTTGTTAAACTGCAGATTCTGGTTCCCGTGGGTGGGGTGGAGCTCCCAGGAGGTGGTGATGATGCTGGTGGTGGTGGCCATGCTGTGCTGCACGCACCAGGCTGAGTAGGTGGGATCGATGCGTTCACATTTGACACATACCTGTATGTGTATATAAGATAGAATGTATTTCAGTCCCATTACATTTTCAGACATTGAATAAAAAGTCTTTCTGCAGAGTCACTTTTAATTTTAAATTTTACGCACACAAGGATTTTCACATATAGAGTTTGTTTTTATTGAGGCACACCTGAATAAACTGTTGCTAAGAAACCTTACCTGTTAGTTACAACAGCTCTTAGAGCCAGGGGCGGGATGCCTTTGATCCAATTTGTTTGAAAATACAACCTCTTTTGGCTCCTGTTTGCAGTTGGAAAGAATATTGCTTTGTTTCCACTCCCTTGACCCCCATAGCAACATTGGCCCGCGTTGGTGTGTGGCATTGCCAAGGCAGAGGTGCTGCTGGAGGTCAGTAGCTGAAGAAGCTCAGAAACCGTGGCAGCATTGAATGTTAAAGCAGTAAGGCCTCTCCGGGGGCTCTGGATAAGGCGCTGACATTGATGTTGTTGTTGATCTAAATGTAAGGAGCATTGGACATTGGCAACGTCTGGCTTGGGGCAACCTTCTGTCTCTCACAGTAACCCAAACTTACTAATTTCTACAACCCCCGACTGTTAAAATAATAGAAATTACAGTTTTATTAACCGTCCGTGTGCCAGGTATTAACGCTGGACACTTATAATAGTATCTCATTTAATCCTTGTAACACTTCTGTGAAGTAGGCATAATTAGCACCTTTTCAGCAGTGAGGGAACTGAGGCTCAGAAATACTTGTTACAAAACTCCACAGTGGCACAAATGGGATATAAATCCCAGGTCCCCCTGACTCCGATGGCAGTGTCCTTTCCCTTTTCCACAATACTACCCATGTTAGCTGCTTTCACATTTTTGTTAATCTACATTTAAGTGATTTTAGTTTTGTTTTAGATTTTGTTTAGTTTTGTTTTAGAAATAATGTTTGCCTTTGAAAACTTCTGCCTCGCCTGCAGTCGAGTTGCACTGTTACAGGATTAGAAGCATGTTACCCATGCCTAGGCCAACAGTGGGGGCGATTTCACTTTGTCTCTGGAGCTGGAGGCTGAATCCAGAGAGGGCTAGCCAGAGGTTCTGGAGCAGAGATACTGTGTTATCTGTGCATTTTCTGGTCTCTCAAATGAATTGAATGATCTGAATATATTTTTATTTTTAAAAAAACAAATTATCAGCAGCCCTCAATAATAGTCATGAGGGTTTTGTTTTTTTTTAACTTTCTATTTTGAAATAACTACAGACACATTGGAAGTTGCAGATGTAGTTCAGAGCTTCAGAGGGGTTCTGTGTGCCCTTCACCCAGTTATCCAGTGGTTACGTCTTAGATGACTGGAGTACAGATGAAAACCAGGAGCTTCGCAGTGGTGCCATCCTTGTGTCTAGTTCTGTGCCACTGTATCGCACTTGTGTGTGCAGACTGCTCTCCCACCACAGAGGTCTTCCTCGCGCTGCCCCCCGTTTAGTTGTACCCCCTCTGCCCCCATCCCTACCCCTGCAGCTGCTGCTGCCAACAGAATTGTCTAGTTTGAAACAGAATGTATGTGAATAGTCTGATCTCTCTCGGTTTGCTGCAGAGTCTGCTCATATCAATAATGATCAATACACAGGTTTTAGGGGCTACTTGTAGTTTCCATGACCTACCTCCCACTCTTATTCATGCTAGTTTTTATGTCTTCTATCATATGAGTCTCTAGAGAGAGCCTTGTAGAAATCAGATCATTTGATGTCTTTAAGAAGTCCAAACCTGTCGATTAAGTCACTCACTTTACTAATTTTGGAAATGTATCAAACTGTAAACTGATGTGTAAATGCCAAGTGGTTTCATTATTGTGTGGCTGCTTTGTCATCTGTAACACGTTGGTGTAGGAGAGCTGCTTGGGCGGCACCTCAGGGTGTGCTCCCTAGAGTGAGGTGGGTGAACGCCTTGAAGTTACTTGTGAAATATGCGTGTTGGTGTGTGTGCATGTATGTGTATGAAGTTCGGTGCTTTTATCAGATTTTCAAAGGGGTCCTTAATAGAAAAAGAAGGTTTAAAATCCAGGACTATGCATAAAATCTTTTCCCAGTCAAAAAAAAATTGCTTCAAATGAAAATGTTCTTTGTGCGGGTAGTAGGAGGGAGCCTTGTATTGTGTAGCAGAACAAACTGTGCCAAGCCACGAATCTGATTTCTTATTTTCTATATAATATATAGAAATAAAAGGAAAATAACATTAAAACAAAATAATCCAAGCTAAACCTAGGGTACATTTATGAAATTTAAATTATACTTTCTGTCCTCCCTCTGACCTTTGTATGTCTA